TTATAGCTTTCCGGTGTGGGACAAATGCTTCAACAATTTAACAGAAATAAGCTATTACCCTTTACAATAATTATACACTCAATCAGTCATTTGAGCAACATATTACCAAACACTTTCACTCAACACATTTAGCCTATTCAGCCATTGCAGCCATTGTGAAACATGCCCTACATATTCGACAGCATATTAGTTTATGATTAACGTGGTTCAGTTGAAAACTGATGGATATGATTCTTAATATAAGACTAAATTTAAGATTATTTTTAAAAATGACTACTTTTACGTTGCTGCAAAAAAAGCACTACTTTTTGTATCGAAAAAATATGACTTATAAGTTAATAAATTCGATAAAAACATACGGAGTATATAATGTCAATATGATATTGTTATATTAATAACAGATGTCCCTTCAAAATCTTTTGAGACTAAGGTTTGGATGTTGTTGTCGGTTGTCGTAACAAATTTCACTTTCAGCACCACAAATGTCACTACTGTTATGAATCATATCTGTAAGCGTAGAAAAAACTTCCAATGAACAACTTATAATTTCCCAGCGAAAACAAAAACTATAAAAGTATTCTGTCGCTGTTGCTACTGGAGTATCAGTGAGACAGAGGTATATACTCCCTCCGTCCCAATATAAAAGGCACATTTGTGTTTGGGGAGTTTTTAAGGGTGAACATTGTTTGAACACTGTTTGACACTGTTTAGACACTGTTTGGCACTGTTTGGACACTGTTTGGCACTGTTTGACACTGTTTTGCACTGTTTTGTTTGCCAAAAAGGGAAATGTGCCTTTTATATTGGGACAGAGGGAGTAGTTGGATATGAATTATATTATTAAACAAAAAATATATTAATTAAATAAAGATTAATCGCATTTCTGAAAAAAATGAAACCTAATCCGATTTATATTTTGTCATACGTAGTAGTATATAGGTAAATAGTTTACCGTTTTTTGACTTTTTTCAAACCCGCCCAGCCACCTAGCGAACAATAACAACATTTCCACAAGTTTTCGGACAAGCATATCACATGCCTCTACTAGAGAGCCCACGCTAACATTAATACCATACTCTTACCTACTTTATGAAGACAATATATATTCAAAAAGTTGATTACAATAATTTTACATCCCTACTTATAGTGATATTCATTCCTCCCTAGTTGTCTAGTACGAGTATATGTATGGCAATTCATTTTATGACAAATGTGATAATTTTTTTTATTTGTGATTGAACTTTTTAGAAAATATAGGGAAAACTATCAAATAAGCCCCCGTACTATGCCGAAAAAATCGATTAGGCCCTCGTACTTTACAAACACTCAATTAAGTCCTCGAACTATTAAAAAAAACGTTCAATTAAGCCCTTTTGGTCGGTGAGTAACCGGTTTCCCGGTTAAACGGCGACGACGGCGACGATGTGCTCGAACCCCAGCAACGGCGGCTGCCGGGAAACGGGTTACATTTAACCGGAAAACCGGTTACTTACCGACCGAAAGAGCTTAATTGAACGTTTTTTAATAGTTCGAGGACTTAATTCAGTGTTTGTAAAGTACGAGGGCCTAATCGACTTTTTCGGTATAGTACGGGGGCTTATTTGATAGTTTTCCCGAAAATATATACTCCCTCCGGTTCTTTTTAAACTTCACACTTTGACTTCACACAAATTAAAGAAATAAATTTGACTTTATTGTAGAGTACACTGTTGTGACACAGTTTGACACTGTTTGACACTGCTTTGGCATTGTTTGACACTGTTTGACACTATTTAGCACTGTTTTGATGCAGATTTCTTTGCCAAATAAGGAAATAAGGGAAGTGTGAAATTTATTTTGGACCTACCCAAAAAGGAAAGTGTGAAGTTTATTTAGAACCGGAGGGAGTAAAATTTTGTAATTTTTATGATCTTCCGAATTATATCAATATTACATATCAAAATAAATAAAAAGTCTGGCTAAATACAGCTATATATAAAATAGGCGGATTTTTTTTGTAATTTTTTGTATGTAACATTGGCAACATTAAAAATATAATATAAATTAATTTATTCACAACATTCAAACAAAACATGCAATTTGATAAATATCCAAAATCAACAAACACACCACACTTGGACAGAATATATTTATCGGATTCAATCAATTGTTTGAACCCTAAATTATTCAACATACTTCCCGAAACAAGATTCTTTCGAACCTTCGGTACATACAAAACATCAAACAACGTAATTGTTTTTCCAGAAGTAAATTCTAAAACAATTGCACCATTTCCCAAGATTGGCGTCGTTGACTCGTCTCCCATGCGTAAGAAGGAACCGACCTCCACTGGTTCTAGGTCTTCAAACCATCCTTTATATATCCTTACACACATGGCTCGTAGCCCCCGAGTCAATCCACCATGCACAATCATCATCTTGTACATAAAAAGATTCTGGAATGAGTGATACATAATTCTGGACAGAATTATCAAAGTTAATCAGGAACTGGCCTCCTTTCTGTGGGACCAGGTCCTTAGACCGTTCTTGTCCACTCCCACTCGTTCCAGCGCCATTCTTGTTCAATTTCACACGGCAATCACGGTTGACATGTCCAACCTTTTCACACCTCCAACAAACCAAACCTTTCGGTTTCTTGTTTGGTTTGTCATGGTCTTCATACTTGCGCTTTTTGCCTTTCCCCTTATCTTTCGGGTTAGATTTATTATCCTCAACCAAGTGAACACGAGGCTGTCCAAATTCAACTTCACCCATAATTTGGTCATTCTCTTGCGCACGAAGAGATTCCTCAATGCGCAAGTGACTCCCAAGTTGAACTAATGACAATTCCTCATCTTGATGTTTTAAAGAACGTTTAAAATCCTTCCAAGAGGGTGGAAGTTTGTCAATTATACTCTACACGGCATAGGATTCATCAATACCTATCTTGTGGAGTTTAAATTGACCAAGAACACGAAGGAGTTCATTGTATTGTTCCATAACCGGCCTTGAGTCAACCATTTTATAATTATTAAAATCATTCATCAAGAACTTTTTACTAGCTACAAGCATCCTAAATGTATTTTGACTCAAGAGAATTCCACAATTCCTTCGTACTCTCAACGTTTTGGTAAATATCAAATAACGCATCGGACATACCGTTGAGAATGTGGCCTCTACATATGTAGTCATCGTCCTCCTACTTATTACGCCTCCTCGTTTGTTCCAAGGTTTCATCCTGCATCACTTATGGCATCGCAGTGCTCAACACGTACACGACCTTCAAAGTGGTGAGAAAGAAGTGCACCTTCTTTTGCCATCTATGAAAATCATTCCCCAGAAACTTGTCCAATTTGTTGAACTTCGTTGTCATCTCTTGCACGGTACTCATGATTATCACAATGGAATATCAATTCGATTGTTGGGGTATCACGTAGGGGGTGATAATCGAGTACTTGGATTGCTTAAAGATCGTGTACGTTCACTTTCCGAATTGATATTCCCCCCCTATGCCTGAGTTACAAGAAATTCAATATAAGATAATCCTTAAGGACACTCTAGAACTTAGTCACAAGAACTAGAGTCAAACTAGTGAGTATATGGATTGTTATATCTAATTTGAGTGCCAAAGTGATGAAGATTTGTGGGAAAAGGTTCCTCTTACTCCTTCCGTACGAAATATGGTGATATATATCCATATAAACGGTCCTAGGCAGTTGCAACACGTTTAAGAATAACCATGGCAGTTTTTAGAAAACTGCTCGAAACTGCCCAACCGTTCTAGAACCACAGAGCTGGTCTACTGAAAGTATACTTCGAGTTCCACTAACGAAGACAATTTGAAATTAAGCTAATTCTTATATACAAGTGTGCACTACACACCTACTAACTTGTATTAGATCATAGTTCTAATTACACAAAACGGCCGGTGACACTAACTAAAATCACCAACACCCGCTCCGTCGTGACCCATTGCCATGCCTATTTTTTACTCTTCAGTTTTCAATTATTGGATATTGATTTAATGATTTACTAAAAGCTTTCACGGGCTAATATTACTAAAATCTACGTAGTACTACGTATATAAAATCGATATTTGAACCTCAACACCCACACCACCTAGACTTAAGCTATGTTTGCAAAAACTTTTTTTAATCACTTTTGAGCTTTTAGCTTTGAAAAAGCTAAAAGTGGTGTTTGCTAACACCAACTTCAGCTTTATTTAAGCCATTTAAAGCCAAAAAGCAGAAGTAGCCCAAGAGGTGCTTTTATCTGCTTCTAGGGCTTTTGGTAAATAATTCCAACTTTTAGGATAGTTTTATTCCCAATTATACTGTTTAGTCCCTGGACTACCCTTCGTCCCCACAGACGATGGTTCCTCCCTCTCCTTCGCATGAGCACTACAGAAACGACAACATCTCAATTTCAATTTCATACGGAGTATATATCAATAATCGCAGACAGCAAAAGAAATGAACACCCTGCTCTCTGCTTTTTTTTTGCTTTGTGAACATTCATGCTTCCCAAATCCCAGATCCGTGGTATCCGATTCCCAAATCCCACATGCGAATGTCCATGTCACATTTAATATATAGAACTTATCTGTTACTTCTTCCTTTCCTCTTGATCTCCCAAAGTGTGAGGCAGATTTAAGAATTTTTTAAAATCCATCCAAGCTCTGGAACTTGCTCCATGAACAAAGTGCCTTCTGCGATGAAAGAAAGCTTAGGAAAGAGACGGATCCTTAGGCATTTATTTAATTAGGAAGGGTAAATTTGTACTTCTACAATCTACTCCAAAAAAATCACTTTTTTATCAAACACTCCAACTTTTATCTTTCAATAAAAATCACTTCTATTTCCAAACACTATCTACTTTTACTTTAAATCACTTTTCCAATAATCTCTTTAAAAAATCACTTTTGAAAAGCACAAGCAATCACAAACACTCCCTTAGCTCTGTAATTATTACAGTGTAATACTCCGTATCTATATAAATTATAAAATCAAGCAGAATTGTAAAGAACCATGCGTGCTACTCCATTGACCATTCTCGATAAACATACACTTTTGGTTTTGGTTTCTTAAATTTCTGATCACTTAGGAATAATGGCAGCGAATTCAAGCGAAACAGAGCTCCCAGTAAAGGCCTTTGGATGGGCAGCAAGGGACATCTCCGGTGTTCTTTCTCCTTTCAACTTTTCCAGAAGGTATGAGAAATTTTCTGTGCTTCGACACCTCACACTGTTATAGATGGATAGATGATAGGACGAACCGGTACTGCATATTCCAGGCTCCCAGCATACAGTAATTGGAACTGGCATGGGACGCCAGATTTACAGTTCCGGTATATGTTCCTCGCCTGGATTCGTAAGCATTTGTTGGGGACGGGCAGGGTGAGTGGTGGGCGGTTCGGTTTCGGGTCCGTACCTCTCAGTGAGAGGCTCTCTAGCTTCCATATTTTTTAAAAACGGAACAAACAAAAACCGAGAAAAGACCTATTCCGGTGGTACTGGCTCACTACGAGCACCATGCTCTCCGGATTAAAGCACGCATAAACACTACACGCGGATGAACAATGTTTTTTTTGTGTATTTCAGTAACTAGGTAGCGTAACTCGCGTTTAAAGAAATATAACTCACGTCATGAAATGTAAGTTGTCCAAAACAGAATATAAGACAAAAGACATTAATTTCAATGTAAACAATGAAAAATGAAATAATTAGTTAAAAGTCATTTTTTATCATTAGCGGGGGTTATTTAGTGGTGTAACTTGTGTACATTAAGATGTACATTAAGATGTACCTCCCGCATAAACTTAAAAGATGTAACCTGCGCATAAGAAGATGTAACTTTATATAAAATCAAATGTAAGCAACGAAAACAAAAGTTTAATTTTTCAGTTAATTTATGTGAATAGTGAATATGTTTTGTTTTTAATATTAAGGCCATAAAAATGTTCTAAAGACAAATCATTTTTTGGAAAAAAAAAAGGTTTTGTTTTGTGATGTAACTCATGCTATGGAAAATCTAACTTAGGTGTATGTAAAATATAATTTGTTGAGGCAAGATCAAATGTAACTGGCACATAGAAAGGTGTAACTCACGCACAAGAAGATGTATGTTAAAGTCTCACACCGGATATCTTTGAAAGAATTAAACACTATATTAAGATCCGAGCTACTCCTCCTACCATGTTGACCTTTTAGGATGGAACCTCAGGTCTAAACATGGTATGAGAGTCAAATTGATCCATGGTGTGAGGGGTCCCCTTATGAAAAATGATGACATGATTATAAAAAAATGACAATGACGATCCAATGAAAAAATGAATGACGGCACGATCCAGACAAAAGTGTCTCGTCGTGAGGAGGGGTGTTAAAGTCCCACACTGGATATCTCTGAAAGAATTAAACACTATATTAAGATCTGAATTACTCCTCCTATCAGGTTGAATTTTTAGGATGAAACCCCAGGTCTTAACAATGTAACTCATTAACTTGTGGATAAGAAGATGTAACTGAATTGATTCTCAATAAATCTTCAGTCTTCACACTTCTTCGTAGCCTTTGGTCCATTACTCGCTCCCAAAGTTTCATGGTGATACTCATAAATTTATTCCCTCGATAGTTGGCGCATTCTTGTACATCACCATTTTTCTTAAATAGGGGAATAAGAGTATTATTCCGCTAACTCACTAGCATTTTGTTGTTTCTTAAAATAAAATACTGTTCATAAAACATATTAACCACTCAATGCATCTCTCTCCCAAACTTCTCTAGGCCTGGATCAACATGTCATTTGTGGACCAACTGCTTTCTTTCGTTCCATTTTTTCAGAGACTCATTAGCTTCTGTTGTTTAGATCCTTCTGACAAAATTCTGATTTACCGTACAATCTAGAGTAGTAAGATTACTAATATTTTGCACTTTATTCCTATTGAACAGGGTATGAAATTATGTCGTCTGCCTCTCTTTTAATCCTTCGTCCTCCATTAGTGCCTTTGATCGACATCCTTCACACACTTAATTGTAACATTATCTTGAGTGTTTCTATTACGAAAATGAGCAAGTCTATAATATCTTTATCTCCTTTCTTAGAGCTCAACTTTATATACAACTCCTTGTTCACTTTTCCTTTTGCTTTTCTACAACTTTCTTTGCTTTCCTTTTAGCCTCCTTGTATTACTCTATGTTCTCATTGCTCTAAAATTTTTTCAACTTTTTGTAGCCTCCCTTTTGTATCATATCACCAAGATGTGTCCTTTTTGTGGCAAACATCACTTAGATTCGCCAAATTTCTCCTTTATCACTTTGTTAATGGTCAATTCCATTTTAACCATACAATCCTCCACGTGAGATGTATATTTCAGCAAATTTTGTAAAATTTGAGAGTTACTTTCGTTCATTTAAAAGTAAGAGAGATTAGATTTGTTGTTTTAAGCTCGTGTCCTTTGAACAATTGAACGTGTCCATTATTACTTATTAGTCATTTAGCCCTATTACTTACGTACTCACACGTAGATATGACTGTGTAACTAAGAAATCTGCCTACACCAAGGACTATTCCGTTGCAAATTACGTAAAAGTATACACAATCAAAAGTATGAGACTAAGACTCCCTTTGGTAATTTCATTTTCTCACAACTATTTAACAAGTAACTTTTGATTTCACGCGTTGAATACTGTAATAATTGAAATACGTAAGACTGAAGTTACTTTTTTGACTAATTTGACAAAAATTGCTGAAGTGGATTATTATAGCTATTTTTCATATTTTTTCTTTATTTTATTTATAGGATATATTTGAAACATTGTTTTCACAATTCAGTAGATTCAATCAATTTAGTTGCTTTATCTAGAATTTCCAATATGAGCAAATTGAATCGAACTAAAAGTTAAGATCACCGGAAAAGGACAACAAATAGTCAAGATACATTAATCAAGTATCAAAAGTGGACATAAACAAAAAACATAAACTAAATGTGAAATTTATCGAAAGTGAAATTTATTATATATTTCATTGATATGTCAATGAGCTTGAATCGGACCACATTCTAAAAACTTTATCAATGGGTTAAACCAGCTCCAAAAAGGATATTCCAAACATGTCAAACAAACAATTCATAATCTTACCAGGTTTTGATATTAAGAGGCTGTTTGGCAACACTGTTTTTCGGCTTATCAGCCAACTTTTTCACCAAACATGTAATATTTGCTTTCGCGTGCTGAATCGTGTAATAAGCAGAAAAAGTAAGGTTGGAGTTACTTTTCTGGCTGTATTGGATGAAGTTACTGTAGATGACCATATATGTTATCTATTTTTACATATATATTTCTTTATTTTATTAATAAAATATATTTTAAAAATATTTTTTTCTTAAATCAGCAGAGTCAGCCAATGCAGCCACTTCAGCCAGAACTTCATAAATTTCAGCAGAATCAGGCAAAATAACCGATTTTGATGCTACCAAAGGGGCTCTAAGATTTAAATTTTCAAACTTGAAGAGTTACTGACAAAAAAGTGTACATATAGACTTATTATTTTATATTTTATTCAAAACAAATACTTTAACAAGATATATACTATCATCCATTCCTTAATTCTTGCAACAGTTTGACTTTCACGTTTGTCAATACACAACTTTGACTGTAACTATATTTAATTATGTATTAGTGAACATTATAAAAAGTTGATATTTTGGAAATTCACATTGATAAGAATTCAATAACATTTTATACGTAATAATCTGATTATGGATTTTTTTAATAATATGATAATGGATAAATAATATGATTATGGATATTAAAAGAAAATTGTGGTCTAAGTAAGGTCTGTGAATAAGGCAAAAATGCAAGAATTAAAGAACGAGGAAGTATATGAGAATATGAATTTGTGCAGGGAAACGAGGGAGAAGGATGTGCAGTTCAAGGTCATGTACTGTGGAATATGCCATTCAGATCTTCACCAAGTTAAGAATGAATGGGGTTTCACAACATATCCCATTGTTCCCGGGTAAGATGGTTATTCAACCTCAGATCCCTACCTCAATTCATAGTGATAATAATATTGGCTTGCTTTTCTTAATCAGTACTTCACTTTAATGCATGGATGCAGGCATGAGATCGTTGGCGTGGTGACAGAGGTGGGGAGCAAAGTCCATAAATTTAAGGTTGGTGACAAAGTGGGTGTAGGGTGTCTAGTCGAATCCTGTCGTAAATGCGAAAGTTGTGCAAGTGATCTCGAGAACTACTGCCCGGGAGGTGTTCAAACTTACAATGCTATCGGAACAACCACATATGGTGGTTACTCGGACATCATGGTTGCCGATGAGCACTTTGTTCTCCGATGGCCCGAAAATTTGCCAATGGAGGCGGCTCCTTTGCTATGTGCCGGGATAACAACGTATAGCCCTTTAAAATATTTCGGACTTGACAAGCCAGGAATGCACATTGGCGTTGTTGGTCTAGGTGGCCTTGGTCATATGGCTATCAAGTATGCTAAGGCTTTTGGATGCAAGGTGACTGTGATCAGCACCTCTGCTAGTAAGAAGAAAGAGGCTGTGGAACGCTTTGAGGCTGACTCATTCTTGATCAGCAGCAACTCAGAAGACATGCAGGTTTGCAAAATATCTCCATCTTTATCCTACTATATATTAAGGATTTATTTGTGTTTTACTTGTTCTTGAATAAAATGTCAAACTTATAAGAGGAGTTGTAACATATATTAGCTTCTATTTTGTGTATATATAGGGGCCGAGACATTTTTGGTTATTAGTATTATTTTTATTTGTGTAGGCGGCAGCAAGCACTATAGATGGGATAATAGACACAGTCTCTGCCACTCACCCTCTTTTGCCTCTACTAAGTTTATTGAAAGTCAATGGAAAGCTCGTGGTGGTCGGAGCACCAGAGAAACCATTTGAACTGCCTGCCTTTCCCTTGATCTTGGGTATGGACATCCATTTATATCAACAACCTAAGTTACACATAACTTAGATGTATATATATTTATATTTTTTATCAAATTCAAATGGTGCTTATTCTAACAAATGAGAATGTATATGGTACATTGAATTTCATATTTTGTGATTATAGAAGTGCCAAATTTGCTAAAAACGTCATTCACAAATCTGTTACTAATTGAGCTTTTTCCCTCGGGTTAAAACTGCATTACTGAAAGTCTGAAATATGAGTTTGATCTGCCAATACTTCAGTCATGTTTATGGAAAATATATATAAGTATTTGTAAAAACAACATTGTTTTGCTTGTATTTTAAGAAATCTCATACATCTATTGGACGTGAATGGATGGATCATTGCAGGTAGGAAACTAGTTGTGGGAAGTTGCATTGGTGGAATAAAAGAGACGCAAGAAATGCTAGAATTTTCTGCCGAGAACAACATATCACCGGATGTGGAGGTTGTCGCCATGGATTATATCAACACTGCACTCGAACGCCTCGCAAATGCTCAAGTGAAATATAGATTTGTTTTAGACATTAGCAACACTCTAAAATCTGCTTGAATATCTTCATATTCGTGTTAAGAGCAAATCTAAACCGGTTGCTTCGTTTTATTTACACTATTGTTATGATCAAGTTTTAAATTTCTATTCGTGTGGTCGTGTGTTTGTTTTTATAATATTCGTAGTAATATAATTAAAGAATAATTACATGAATCTTGTGAGTTTCCGTCCATTGTATATTTTGTCTTGTTGACAAAATTATCTTTATGTACAATATTACTAAGTTAATTTGATTGTTACTATTTCCCTGACTCAAATATTTGACAATTTTAATAAACAAAATATTAACAAATAATATAAAAACGTTATTTATGTATGCTTATAAATTTCATATTATGTACCCCTCATGCACTTTTTGTAGCTTATATAGCTACACCTTCTTGCGCAACTCTATTCGTATTTTTAAAGTTCTCTAAAATTGACGAGTGCATGGAGAAGTAGATCCTCATTTTCTCATCTCAATCCAATGCCTCTAGAGATTTCGGAAATTGAAGGTTCTCAATCCCCTCCATCTTCAATCGGTGATTAGAAACCATCTGTATTGGTTACCTTCCCACTAGAGGGTGCCATTGATGATCGTTCCTGGCAGCCTCGTTGGATGAGATCGTTGCTATCGGCCTTCAATCGAATAGGATCGCTCTGGTTGGTGCTGGCAAGATTTGGTGCTCTGTAAAAACACATATTTTTTTTCGTAAATAAGCGACACCGTTGGTCCACCGTGCGCACTGTGTGGCCATCCTACTGTATAATTTGCGATCATTTTTTCATATCGCTTTTATCGAGTATGTATATTATACATCCGGCTGTACGGAGCACTTAGGGAAAAATAGCAAAACTGTTGGTCCCGTTTAATATGGTAACCAGTCTAGAGGGGGGGGGGTGAATAGACTGGTTGGTTTTTCAAATTTTCTCTAAGTCCAAATTGACTTATCAGAGAAGGTCTGATTCTGATGACAGAGATAGGCTGGTTCTGATATCAGAACTGGCCTTGGCAGCGGATTCTGATCTGTTCGGGTAGCCTCAGAAACACTAAGGCAAATGCCTTTCTGATAACTCTTAAATCAAGATCTGCTGAACACAGATTCCAAGTCTTAGAGTTAATCAGTTAATATCCTAAGTGCAGAAATGAAAATTGCAGTAAAATAAATGACACCGGATATTTTTATAGTGGTTCAAGGAACAACTCGTTCCTCTAGTCCACTGTTCCACTAGCTTTGAAGTAGATCGGTTACAAAGCTTAGTCCCTAGCACTTAAGAAGTACTCCACGCCTTCTCCAAGTCTAGTTGTCACCCGGGATGCAATCCTGCTTCCTGATGACTGGTCCTTTCACTCAGCTTCCCGGAAGTATCACCACTTCACTACTGCAGTTACTTGGACGCCCTTCTTTTCAGAAGATCCTTTGAAAAACAAAGTTTTTCCTCCAACTTGCTTCGTCACAAATGATGTTTGATGAAGTTCTTGAAGAGTTGAAGAGCAGGATGAACTTTGCTCTTGTTGGGGATGAGAGATTGTGAGATTGAATCTTCCCAACGTAAGCTTTTTCTTGTTTTTGTGTGGTGGAGTTTGAATCTCAAGAGAGCTTGAAAGTTTTATGAGCACAAGTTGTAGCAAAGTTGTATCCCTGTTCTTCGGTGAGTAGCTTATATACTGGGGTTGTCTGCCCGTTGGAGGAGGAGACAACTGCATTAAATGCGCGTACAGTTGACTTGACCGCCGTTTTGGAAGGTTTCTATTTTTATAATATATCTTCCCGGATTCCTTGGTCAATCATTTGCAATCAATCCTTCAGCGTATCAGGCTCATTTAATGTGCATTAAATGCCTTCCTTTCATGCACAGTCTTCTAGCCGTTGGATGTTTTTACCCGTTGAACTCATAGCTGTTGGATGTTGCTTGAAATCTTCTAAGTGTTAGTCGGGCTCTGATCAGGCTCTTCTGATGTGTTGGATTCAGATGGTCTTGTGATGAGTTGAGTTCTGATGGCTTTCTGATCTTGGATAGAGTTCTAACTCTGACTCTGATATGTCCGCTGATGAGTACCTTTGATTTGTAGTTCTCATCGGTTATCAGATGTCCAAGTTTATCAGCTATTCTCATGGTGCAACTCTGATGGACTTCTGCTAAGAGAACTCTGATGGAGCAGTTCTCATAGAGCAAATCTGGTCGAGCAGTTCTGATGCACTTCTGATCTGGTCCACAATAGAGCAACTCTGATCGTCGACTACACTAATACTTACAATTAAAAAATCTAATACATAAAATCTAACTTGGGGGTACTCTAACTTTCTAATCCTATAGCATCATCAAAATCTAATTACATTTATTCCTTACAATTTCCCCCTTTTTGATGATGCCAAAACCCTTAAACTATTTCCAGAGAAGTGCCTTTCACCATAAAGAAAAAGAGTAAAAAAATAAACTTTCATTTAAAAACTTGGTGGGCACTTAGCATAGGAAAGTAGTAAGAGTGAGATACAATCAATCACGCAATAATCAAATGAGAAATAACATAAGGTATCAGAGCATAAAAAGTCAGAGTGCAAACAGAGATAATTTGAAATTGCCATGCAAAATAGAGGCAAGCAGGTTATCTTATTAATGGAAGATATTTAAAGCAACAAGAGGATAGAGTTTAGATATCTTCCTCTTCTAGATCAGCTTCCTTTGCCTCAATTTCCTTCAGATCAGCATTGACCCTAGCTCTGATTGTAGCAAGATTCCTGGGATTCTGATATTCTGACCAGGCTGGTTCAAGTTGACAATCAAGATAGTTTCTGATGGCTTCAGATAGGTCCTTGCCAGGGATCACTTTCATCCGCCACCAATCTTCTGCTTCTTGCATGGAACCACCATGATTAATAATTATCAGCCCATCTGTATCAAGGATGAGATTCTCTTGTTGTGTGGGGGTCATATGCTTCTTCATCTCTCTGAATTGAGCAGCATCAGGAGTAGCTAAGTCACTGTTAAGCCATTGAGCCAGAGTAAATGAGGGAGTTTTCTTCCCTTTCTTGGAGCGAGGAGGGGGTCTCTGAATACCAGCAGCTAGCCTCTTTTGCCTTGCTCTTTCAAAGTACCTAGCAGGGTTAATGGCTCTGGAGCTTGGACCTTCTGCTTCTCTGGGAAGTGGGACAGGTTCTCTGCTATCTTCCCCCTTTTTGGCATCAACAAGATCACCAAGTAGGAGTCCAATTTTCGAGAATTCTGTAGCATTGTTCTCTTTTATAGCTTCAAGGGTACCTGGCAGAGTCTGAGTTACAGAAGCCAGCCCTTCTATCAGCTCCTTTTGCTTGCCCACAGCCGACTGAATATCCTTGGTAGTAGCTTCAAGGAGGGTCAACTTGTGATCCCTGTCCTTTCCACTGTTTATCAATTTGATGTCAAATTCCTTCAAGGTTTTGCAGATGTCCTCTACATCTGTGAGCTGCTCAGCATGCTTATCAGAGGACCATTGAAGATCATCCACAGCATCAGATAGGTCTTGAATAGCCTTGTCTTGAGCAGAGAGAGTCTGAGATTGTGAGAACAGGACTGTGTGCAGACTGGCAACCTCGGAAGCAATGTTATCAACCTTCTCATTGGATGTCTTCATGTAGCTGAAGAAGGTAGTCGACAGTTGTGAGAGGGCGTTGGCGATTTTCTCAAGTCCTGACTCAATGTTGTACTGTACCAAATCCAGATGAGCATCATGCTTCTGATTTAGCACAAGTAGCTTGTTCAGTCCAGCCACCATCTGATCTCCAAAGTCCTCTGCTGATTCCACAAATTCCTGGAAGGGAATGAGGACAGCTTTGGGTGGTTCTGGCTGAGGTACTTGATTGACCTGCGGTTGAGGCTGAGCAGGAGATAGAGAAGGAGTAGGGGTCTTCCTCTTGTTAGATTGGAGGTCACAAGCCAGAGAGGAAGTAAGGAACCCATTATTATCTTCAGTTGAGGAAGGAATCCTTACAACTGGTTCTCTCTTTTGAGTGGAGGCTGCAGAATGCTGAGGGGAAGGACATTTAGATGTAGGCTTCTGCTGAGGAGAGGGGGAATTGGATTTCTGATGGTTGAGGCTCTGATGAGGTGAAGTTTGAGGGATAGGGGTTCTCTGATGTTGTGATGGAGGAGGAGGTGAGGGTGATCGGCTTCTGATGGGGGTGTGCTGATGGCAGGGTGAGGGTTGTTTTGGTGTGGAGGATTTCTTGGGTGTTGGAGAAGGGATTTGCTGAGGTTGAGGAGGAGATGGGGGTGGAGTAGTGGTTGGTGTGACTGGTTTGGGTGAAGGGGATTTGGGAGGTGATGGTAGGGGAGAAGGAGAGTTAGGAAGTACCTCAAGAGCTGTTTCTTCAACTGGAGACTCTCTCCATTCTCTGATAAGGTTCTGCATTGCCAGAGATATATCATTGGCAGTGGAGGGTTCACCTTCTGCACCTGGAAGGGGCTTCATCTTGATGAGAGACTCCCTTCTTTTCTTCTCCAACAGCCATTCATCAAAGATGGGGATCTCACTTTCTGATAGAGGCTTGACATGCTCTTCTGATGGTGGAGCAGTCAGTTTCTCTTTTCCCTTGTAGCTTGCCTTCTTCTTCTCAAGAGTAGATTGTAGGAAGTTAAGGTCGAAGCATAATGATATGTCATCAGTACCAGCCCACTTGAGAACTTCAGCTTCCTCAGATTCAAAAGTGGCAGCTTGGGCAAGAATTTGTTGAAGAGGTCCCATTCTCCACTTCCTCCATGTTAGCACCCTTTGGAATTGTTTCTCAAGAGCAGAGATGGGATCTACCTCAGGAATTCCAGTTGAGGAGGTTGGGTGCTCTGGTGGTGAGATGGTGACTTGCAATGCTGATTCAGAGATGGGCTGGATCTCAGATTCAGGTTCCCCCTGAGCATCAGAGATCACCAGTGCAGTAGCCAGCTCAGGTGCTGGTTCCCCCTGAGGTTCTGATTCCTTGGGAGGAGAGTTGGTCTGCTTCTTCTTCTTCTGGATTCTGATGAGAGATTTGGAGCTATCAGAGTCACTCTGAATGACAGCTCTTCTTCTCCTCTTCTGTCTCATCTTCTTGACAGGAGCCTCTGTTGGTGCATCCTCCTCTGATGCAAGTTCCTCTGGGGTGGTGTCAGACTTCTTCTGAACCTTCTTCTTCTTTTCTTTGGATTGTCCATCATTAACCGTAGCTGTAGTAACTTGTTTCTCCCTTAGTTGCTCTTGCTTGTTGGTTTTCTTCAGTTCTGCAGCAATAGCTACATGCACCTTGGGAGATGAGGTGAGGAAGAT